TTACTTGAAATTCACGTCTGCATTATCCGGGTTCGACTCCCGCTGGGGGCGAGGCCAACCCTGCTGTCCAGTCCAGTTCAGTCTGGATGAGACTAAGTTTTGGGAAGTAAGGCTATGTCAACGTCAATGGTACCGTGATTCGAGAAATTTCAACTATCAGTACTTCATGGTCTAGGGCGAATGGAACTCTTATTCAAGATAGTTTTATAATGTACTCTATACTATTACAAATATAAGTTAGGCCTCCTTAATTACTGTAGATACGATGAGTAACCAGGTTTCGATGATTCTCCTGAAATAACATTGTTGAGGAGGCTTTCATTTCGTATGAAATTGTATGAAGAAGATGGTCGTAGGTCTATTTCACCAGAAGAGGACGGCTGAATCGCGTTGTACTGCAGCCGTTTAGCTTTTATACGACGTTCAGGTTGACGCAGTCCACGAGACCTCATCCCTTGTTTCGGGTGAAAACTGGCTCAGCTTTTGTCCATCATATGATGGACATAATCAGAATGAGACCAATGATGATATTGTGCATCAATTGGTGGACGAAAGGTCAGCCAGTTTTTTACCCGAAACAAGGGAGGTCTCGTGGACTGCGTCAACCTGAGCGTCGTATAAAAGCCAAACGGCTGCAGTACAACGGGATTTATCCGTCCACTTCTGGTGAGATCGACCTACAACTATCTTCTTCATACAATTTCATACGAAATTAAAGTCGCCCCAATAATCTTTAACAGTTGCTTAATTTTCGGACTTTAAAGACTCAGGTTATATAAGATTGCAAATTTTTGTTTCGTAAAGATATCATTTGGTTCGTTGGAGTACTCTCTGGCTGACTTGCCTAAGTATGCTGCTGGGCTCACTAGCAGCAAGTTGCGTAAGAAATCCGTGGTCTGCCGAAGAAATAAGTGGCGACGAGGAGAAGTTATCATCCAATTGGCTGTGATGCTCATTGTAGTCTGTCTCAATTTCATTGCTGTTGGCAGCATCATCGCTTGAAGTCACGATGTCACCCGGAAATCCAGATCGGGGCACCGGTGTGACAGTGAAACCGGCATTCTGTAGGTGGTGAACAATGGTGTTTTCACCCCCGAGGAAGTGCGCTGGGTCATTATCAAAAAAGAAACATTAATTAAAGCCAAGGAAAGAATGAAATGTATATAATATTGTCAAGATTTACCAGTTTTGACTGGTTTCTTATAGAACAAATTACACATTTACCCTCAATAAATTAAGAAGGAATAGGGTATGAAAACCAAGATGGTGTGACCTTTTGTGTAGTCGCAGTCTCCTTTCGTTGTATAGAAGTTTTTTTGATTGTCTCTTTGACGAGTTATAATATGGTTATAATATGGTGAAACGTCTGGGAATGTACCACGTCCACGGTCCTACTCTGGAAATGATGATGCCTACAATGGACTCCGTACAAGGTGGGTTCTCTAAGTCTTCTTACCAATATGACCAAGTTGTGACAAAAAGGTCAAACAACTTCTGAGAAGGAGTAAGTTTGCCGTTGTACTGCACTTCATCCATCTCAGCACCACTTCAAACGCGATTCGTAATCGTGGGCTTCATCTCGACACATTGCCCATCCGCCATACTGGCGTTGTCACGAGCTACACTTTTCCCAAATCATAATAAGAGGCAATCATACATTTGCCATTATTATCTGCAACATTCTTAACTTATTATTCAAGAATAACTGAGATTTCGGAACACACTTACATGGAGTGTGGATAATAGTTGGAAAAAGGGCATCAACTGTTCTGCATTATCGACAATCCCACCACAAATGTAATTTGTGTAAAGCCTAGCTTGCCTTAAATGTCTCATTCGCCCCGTGGCCCACGGGCAGTCATGGATTTCGTCAGGGACGGTGTGATAAAGTCAAAATAACGTTCTGTCCTGAATGAAAAGAATTTTTTGGGGGCAGAGCTGAATGATATTCAATGGAATCGTAAGTCACTATCAGCCCTCGAGTCACTCTAGACGACTTAGGATGACTGACTTTTTATTCATGTTAGGCTTGTCTGTTAGAATTTTCAATCTTGCAGTAAAGCTAAAGTCCAAACCAAGTAAATTACCTCATTTCCGACGGTTTCACGACAAACTCTGCATAGTCCAATCCTAAAACCATTAGCATTTTAGGGATGCTTTTTT